CCACAACATGCATATACATTAACAATGTTGATATGAATAAAATTAAACACTATCAACAACGTACAACACAACATCAAATGAATAATTATCATTGTTGCACTTTGAAATGGCTCTGGATACAGTTTTGATGTTATTACAAAGTATGTCCACCAGAGGGCGCTAAAGTGTGCTACATGACGTAAGGCCGCAGTGGACCGCATGGTTAATGGCGATCATGCAGGAAAGTTTCCAAAGAGATGAAAATGAACTACAAACATATGCTGCTAAGTACACAATGCAAGCTAAAGACAGGACTACACAATATAATGGTGTGGACATACTCACATAGTCATTAAACGCACAACAACACGATGTGAGAAAGCTAAGAGAGAGCACGCTCTTCACTCGTTGCCCTCCTACAGCAGACTGCCCACCTGGACTCCTGTGCGCATGTCAGTGAGGGGCGAACTGTTCTTAAAGGTACAGTGTCATTGAAGCAGGGAAATTTGCACATGAGGTCCATGTTCTGCAGCAATTAAATGTAAAGTTCATTTCATGTTTTTTCTGCAAAGTTCCCAAACTTTACGAATGCTGCTGAAGGCAACAGGAAGATCAGAAAGCCTGTGAATAATTGTGATCCTTTTATTGACTTATTTGGAGACTATTTGTCCAAGTAAGTATGAGAATACATTTTAGAAATGACACCCAGTAATCCACATGCACAAACTTTAAGTGATGTGGTTAAAGGGGCCCTGGTCCTCTGCACGTGAAGAGGAAGAGGTCTTCAAATGAATGAAGACCCCTGTCTCCAAACATGTATCCAAGGAAATGAACACCTCTCTCACACCAACATCGTCACTGCTGAACATGTACAGGACTTTTGATAATGAGAAGAGTGAGAGATGTGAAAAATAGGGGAGAGTCAATTCAATTACATTCTGTTTATTCTTGTATCGCCCTAAATCAAAAAACTAGTCATCTCAAAGGACTTAACAAAACTCTTGAAATTGTCAACACAGATCAGAGAATCAAACAGGTCAAACACAAAAAGAACACATGGTATTGGTCCAAAGGGAGTTGACCAATGTCCATGAATGTTAGAATTTTGTCCTGGATCACTACCACAGTCCTTCTTGTTGGACACTAACAGTCTGACAGACCCTCCTCATCAGCGAGGATATTCCATTTAACTGTGACCACACGCTTTTTCATAAAAATGGCGGACTGCAAAGCTATGAGATAGAATCAGACTAAAACATCAGACATCGGACACAGAATTTATGAGGTGGAGAATTTTCAAATAACACATGGACCCTGATGGCTGCTCTGTTGCTCCATTTAAAGTTCCAACTGAACCATCAAACCAAACACACAGAGGACGCAGTAAAAATCCACTGATATAAAGTGATCCTGGTAACGTTCAGAAGACCTGCTGCTCTGTTCTGTTGCTCCGTGGATGGTTCAGGGCCTGGCCATTTGTCCTTCCTGATAACTGTAACGGGGACCATCCCAACAGCTCGTGGAAGTGGAATCATAAAACTAAGAAAATGCTCTTCATTTTCTTAGTTTTATAATTCCACTTCCACGAGCTGTTGGGATGGTCCCCGTTACAATTGGGGAGAGATGCCCTCCTGTAGGTCTAGGTCTGGGTCTGGGTCTAGGTTTAGGTCTAGGTCTAGGTCTGGTCTAGAGTGCAGGGATTGAGACGTTTCAATGATTGATAATCGCTATGGACACAAGGACAGTAGAACTCTTCATTCAATGGTTAAAAAAGAATAGTAATCCCAATTGATCTTGTGACCAGAGATGCATAGGGCGGCACGGTGGCTGAGTGGATAGCACTCTCACCTCTCAGCAAGAAGGTCCTGGGTTCGAATCCCACCAGACCAGGGCCTTTCTGAGTGGAGTTTGCATGTTCTCCCCGTGTCTGCGTAGGTTTCCTCCGGGTACTCCGGTTTCCCCTACCACTAAAAATATGTATAATAGGTCTGGCATGCGCCTCCTGTTCGGCGACCCCGCTCCCATCTCTGTGTGGAGCGAGAGGACAAGTGCCCAAAACATAACAATTGTCAACTGCTTTGTGACTCTGGTCTGTGAAAGGCGGTATATAAATAAAGATTACTTACTTACATAGAATATTGAACGCAATATTGAGAGTTGATAAAAGAAAAATCATGTATATTTTTCTATTTTCTATATATATTTTTTTGCCGTGGTCTTTCAGGAAAATCTATAAGAAGCAATCTGACTGTGCAAAAATGAAAGCTGTATTAGTACTTTAGTACCTTTAGTACATGTATGCAGTACTTTAGCGCAGACTTCAGGCTGTAATTGACTACAAAGGATTTGTAACAAAGTATTTAAAAAGTACAGCTCGATGTATGATCCATACTTTTGGACTAGAATATGTATTTTGTGAACATATAGGATTGGGTTGAGAACTGATTTGAAAAAGTCAAAAAAACAAAAATACATGTATTACAGAGCTAAATGTTTTGTGGTTTGTAAGTTAGGGAGCCCAGCTTTAAGTCTTGAATGACTCCTGTAATATACAGTTAACATATCATGACTACCCTAATACTAACTAAACTTACTAACTAACGTCAGACAGTATTTTGATGACACATGAGTATGTCAGTCTCTGACAAGCCATATTTGATATTATCTTTAAAAGAGAGAGGTAGAGTCGCCCACTTTAAATGTGACGACGCCCAAATAGTAGCAGCATGTTGGCGCTGCACATGGAGATGAAGCCTGATAATATGATAAATCCATGAGTGAAGCCCATTCACTCACAGCTCCACTGCCCCTGGCTCTGTCCTGCTGACGCTAATAAACCAAGAGCTCCTATCACACACACTTCCTGTTTCGTTTGAGATAATCTAATACAACGGCATCTGTCCAGGATTCTCCTCTAGGCCTATTTCAAATGAGACTTTATGTCATTAAGCAAGACTATATAATATCTGATTAGCCTAACCGGGTTTGCTTGATTCTATTTTGCTCTTATACTGAAGGTATTGGGGATCAGGCTTTGGAATGTCCATGTGAAAGTGTCCATACCCTGCGAAGAGTACACGTCGCTCAGAAAGCAACCCAAGGTCTCAGCGCACACACCATCTTGCTGCGCTCACATCTTTGGAGGCATTTCTGGCCACCTTTCACCGTCGTCATACGGTCACGATTTTGCATGGCGTCGTGCCCGCGCCTACGTCACGTTCATTGGAGAAGAAGATGAAGTGAACCGAGGCGCGTGCCCGGGGTAGACAAGTTCCATTTGGTCTAAAAATAGTTTGTTCCCGGTGTTGGTACGTCGTGGTACACGTCTGGTGACGTCATTGGTGCTTTTTGTTGAAGAGTAAATTGACCTTTTCTTCCGAGAGCCGTTCCCAATACCTTCCTACTTTCATTCATGTTCTGCACACTATTTTTACTCACACGAGAATAACTGAGGCTCTATTTTAGTGCAGGTAGTATTTCAGGGAGCGGTCTATCACGTTCATTCTACAAAGAGCTGTTACAGCAGACATAAACACAGGCGTGATTTGAAGCAAATTACGCGTGGCTTTCTCTGCGATGAAGACAATAATGGGTCCATTTGTGCATTAAAGGAAACAAAGCTATGGACACGTGCGGGCGGTGCAAGATCACGTTGTCAACATCCAAATTTTGTTTTGTTTTTTGTATCAAAGAAAACAAACTTTTACCAATATCAAAGGTCCTAAGACAAAGTTATAATTGAATCAAATATGAGCCAAGTTTGTCAGAAAGAACAAAGACAGCACCAGGGGCACAGGGGGGCGAGCGGGGGTATTAGCGGCTGGGTCACGGGGGGAGCAGTGTGGATGACTCATCTGTGTGTTCAGCCTGGACACAGCCCTAAATGCGAAACTCAAAGGGAAATCAGGAACTGTGTGTATTCGGACTGCTCAGGGTTTGGCTTCATACAACCAGAAGACTATTTATGGTTGTCAATAAACAGACTATCAAGTGTGGACAAAGTGTGTTGCTTGTTTTCTGACTCCAAATTGTGCACACGTGATACACATTATGATAATAATGTAGTTCGATATTGAGTCTCTGCGAGCAAGGCCACTTTAGGTTCCAGTGCGTAATGACTCACTTCCTGAACTGGAATGATAGTTGAATCAAAACAGATTTGCAATTACACTTACTACTCTGACAATGTTCAAATCCATGTTATTAAACAGTAAACTGAAGGATTGTATCTTCCCTCTTTTCAATGTATGTGATGATTTATGAGTGTAATACTTTTTGTGCTTTTATGTTTCTTTTCTTGTGTTATTATGCAATTTGAGAGGCCGTGTGTAAACTGTGCAACACAAATAAACTTGCCTTGCCTTGCAGCTACATCCCATGGAGAACAATGAACCATGTGATTTCCCCTTTCTCACTCCCTGACCTCAAAAGCTGTTAAACATTAACGTCCCTACGCAGTATACTCTCCACAACCCAACATCACAAGAGTATAAGTATATCTTAAATTCTGCTGCTGCTTTTGGACTCATCCCCAAGTGGAATTACCCCTGACACCTGTTCCCGCCCCCATCCTTCCCACGGACGCCACCAGGACTCCCGGCTCGAGCCTCGTCGTTTTGTTGTTGTGGTCTCCCGCTGCGCGCACGCACGGCCGCACACTCCCTGCTCATAAGTGAATGACGGCAGGTCGCTATGGAAACTGCGTTACGCTCCTGGCGGCTGTAAAGGGGAAGAAAACAAGAGCGTGAGGACTCTTCCCTGTCTTCATTTCAGCACCACGCGACTCCCGGACAGCGACCGCATGCTCCGGTGCCACGCGCGGACAGCCAGCCCTCCCGCGCCTTATAAGGGACAGCAGAAGAGCGCAAGCAGCAGCAGCAGCAGAAGCAGAAGCAGTAGTAGCGGCAATAGGCACCACGTCTCTCCTCGCTCTGAAAGAAGAGGAAGAAAGACAATCCGTGATTCAACATCTTTGGACGCGGCTTCAGTGTAGTAGCGTCCAGGGGCACACGCTCCACCGAATGCCGCAGCAACAGGTAAGAGGAGCACTGGGTGTTGTCAACTTTTTTTGGAGAATAGCTTTAGTGTTAAGTTGCATGGGTGATGGATGTTGTTAGGAATGCACTCAACTCACTGCCGAACTCTCATTGTAAAGGACTTAAAATTGCATAGGATAGAACTGTGCGTCTACATTGTTTTCTTAAATGTAAATACTTTAGTAGATATGTATTTTGGCTCCTAACATTTCTTCAGAGATCTGTATCTTCTTTGAAAGACCTATTAGTATTAGATAGCTTATTCTAGTGGCCTGAAAAGTTAATATGATGTTGCCCTGTCAGAATGTTCATATGTATAATCGCGCGTATATAGACTTGAATTTGAATACGACTCCAGGAATTATTTTATTGTATCGTGAGCTTTTTGGACACATGCTCAAACCTGGGAAGAGATCATCTGAACCCTGTCGCATTTCCAAACACACACACACATCAATTCAATCAATAGTAAATCAGCAGTATGTGATGTCTGTTTCAGCCTCTGGCCTCTGTGTCTCTGTGGCACAGTGGGAGTTGTTAGGTTTTCTGTGGCCATAGATTATGTGCGAGCTGAGCCGATACGCCTGGATGAGTCACTCCGGCTGCAAGTTTGCAGAAATGTGCGAAGGGGAGGGGGCAAGGGGGGGAGAGAAGGGGGCAGACGGGAAAACAGTCCTGCAGTGGCTTCGGAGCTTTATTGTGATCCCTGTCACCCTCTGGAACACGTCAGACCTCTTTGGATGAACGTTTTGGAGTTTGAAGGAGCTTTTAATGGTTTCTGGTAAGATGGATTTTTTACTATAGCTTATTAAAGAAGTGGTCTCTCTATGAAAAACAAAGCTATTTTAATAACAATACATTTTGAGATTCTTATTTTAGTTTGTCGCGCTTAAACTTTGGAATATACAGCGGAAAAAATATGTCAGATTTAAGTCACATGACCATTTTTCACCAACTCTTGAATATTTTTTTCTGCTTTCTCTTTTGTGTGACGCTTTGCATGACTATACGTGTTTGTTTTTGTGCCGACAAGCTGTGTTGTTTCTTGCTTTAAAAACACACATGAGTAGCTCCAAGTCTGGGCTGTAAATGCAGAATGCAGACCTATAGTGTGTTTTAAAACCGGTCCCTGAGGCAGACGATTAGCTGTGACAATCCAATAAAAAGGAGCCTAAACAAAAGACCATTTTTTCCACTTATCTAAATAGCTGGTCAGTGGCTGCTCCCGACCAAAAGCACTAACATGTTTGATAAACTGCCCTCAGAAAGCTGCCCATTACCGCTCATTATGATTCTAATGTTTACACGGCTGCCATTGACAATAACAGCAATCACGGCCATTCACTTGTTGCCCCGGAGTGACAACTATTGATTAAGCCTGACAATAGATAATAATGGTTTTCTCACCGCGGCTATGCACTTTCAGACACTTTCCCTCTAGCAAAAAAAAAAAAAAGCAGCCCCACATTATCTCAAATAACACACAGTTCACTTGATTAGCCCGATTCAGGAAGCGTTGATTGTTTGCGGCTACATACTGGAAAAAAGCATTACGTCCGGATACATAAAACCAAAACACAATAGCTGCAATAAATGCTTTCTGAATAATTTGCCGTTTTTGCATGTATCGAACAAAAGGCGCACCCTGGATGTGTAGGAGTTGCTTGCGTTTTGTAGTGTTTGGGAAGCGCACATGTGGATGGAAGTGGGGGAAGAGGGAAACAAATATCAAGATTTATGTCTTTAATTAGTGACGTGGTGTGATTAATGCAGTCTGCTGCTGATGACTCATTCGGCTTAACCCCTGAAACTCCGCCGGAAACAATCAATATACAAAGATTAAAAACAGGTCTCATTTGCATTTCATGTTTACAAAGGGGGTAATTAGGTGTAGGTCTGAGGGGAGGTTGTGGTCCTTGTAGAAGTGCTGTTGGAGGAAGTCTCTGTACAGAAATGTGTAAATGTTTGTATGTTGTTGGTCTGTGTCTGTTTTTTATGGTTTTTTATGGCCCTTTCATGTGTTAGAATTGATGCACCTGGATATTTAGATACAGAAATAGGTTTGTTTATTCTTTTCGTGAAAAGGCCTAGTTCGACAAAAAACATAAATTACACATATTCTTTTACAATTATTCAAACCCTAACCCTAACCCTAACCCCCAAACCCTAACCCTAACCCTTCAAAAAAAAAATCCATGATCAGAAAGGAGCAGATAGACAAATGTAATCCTTTTTTTTTTCGAGCCACACTTAGAGACATTTATGGACATTTATTTACACTTTTAGACATTGGTCATCCGCCCCTTATGGACCAATGGCTCTTATGTGTTTGTTACCATGGCATTTCGCGTGTTTGAACTTCTCGAGTCTCTGATTTGTGTTGGCAAATTTACACATTTGTAGTAAGTTTTCCAAGATGACGACTGTTGCAATTTTGGGCTATAGAAAAAGTTGAATTGAACAAATATATGCCACTACTTTCTCCTACAATCCATCTCCCTCTATGCCTCACTGCGCTAACTTCACCCTTGTCTTGCGTTAGTGTCCACTCTTCAAATCAACTCAATTCAATACCGGAGAGTAGACTGGATTAACCGCTATTGTGTCCTAATGAAGAAGAAATACATAAAATCATGTTGAACAAGTAATGGAGAAAGGCACAAAACTGAAGGCTTTCCAATCTCTGTACAATCACGAGCCATCTCCAACCGCCACACATGTACAGTACACCTTGAGGACCTGTAGGAGGAGCCAAATCAAATAAAAGCAGTAAAATTATCACTCGCAATCGTGTCGAAAGTTTCAAGTGAGACGCTCCAACAAATGATGTGAGGGGTATAATACTAAGGCTGTTATCAAGGTGCATCATGGAACTTTTCTGGAGGATCGACAACGGGTTTGGGTTCATGGGAGGGCAATTTATTTTATGGTACATTGGGATATCGTCATATTCTGGAGGGTCGGACAAGATTTAATTCAATTCGGCAAAATATATGTGCTATTTTTTGTCGCAAATACTATAGTTATGAAAGTATTAGTTTGATGAACATAAACATTAGAAGAGAAGACAGAGAGGGAAACATGGAGCTTAAATATCCAGTTTTTAAAAAAAAATTTAATTGAATTTAACCAAAACTGAACCAAAGTTTAAAATACGTTTTTTAGACTGATATACAGAACAATCTTTAATGGCAAATTATTACTGGAAAGGGTTTGGGGGCCCCATTAAAATGTGAATCGGGCCGCATGTGGTATCCAGACCGCAGTTTGCCCAGGTCTGTTCTAGTTTGCGAGGTTTGCTAGAATGATTTAGCTTGGTTTAGCAAATAACTCCCTACATTTTTAGTTTTGTTTTTATGTGAATGTGACACGTTAAAGACCGCATACTGTACTCCTCTAATGAAGTGTGAGGAGAGAAGATAAGTGCTTTATTCCAAATATTTGCACGCATTCAAACTCACACCGTCTCGTCAATTTGTTGGAGTCTTGTTGTTGTCCTTGTTGATTATTTATGCAGAGCAGATCTGCGAACGGCTCCATGTGTCAGCGTGTCAACACAGAAGCTTTAGCATTGTGCTGGAGCTGTGAGCCAAGCTGTGAGAGCAGGCAGCAGACTGGGAGACACACTGACCGAGCATTATGGGAAGGATAAGAGGGGCCCCAAGGCAGGAAATACTCTAGATACTCATGTGACATTTGAAATTGAAGCACTTACAGCTATAGCTAAGAAACATAGAGCAGCTACTTACTGTATATTGTATAGTTTGTGTGCTCCTGATGTGCTCTTACTACTGTCCTGCATGTGCAATGTTAAATAAAATAAAAACAATGAATAAATTCAGATTCAGATTCGTAAAAAAATTTTGATCCCAAAGGACAATTCATTAGCAGCAGAATCTCAGAGCAGAACACACAGTGAGTCAGGCCTCACAATTCAAGAAGCAGGTTACAATAGGTTACAAAAAGTTAAAAACAATACACAATACAATGCACAATCATTCCCAAAAGTCAGTTTTATGGCAGACAGCACGAAATAATTGGAAAAAACTATTCTCTTCCCATCTGATCTATTGAGTTTGATATACAATTATTAACAATGCTTAGATCTATGACAAATTACAGGAACGTACTTATGGGTAGTTTTGCTTCGACATGCATTGGCTCCTCATTTTCTTTAACCAATTGCGTCACACTCTTTGGGCTTAAAGATCTGTAGTTTAACTCTCTACATGATCTATATTGTCTTTGTAAAACCAGATATGTCCCTTAATAACTGACCAATCAGGTGTCATCTATCCCCGAAATTGTGGGTACAGACCAGCACCACACCTGATTGGCTCTTTGGTTATTAGGTTGTTGCTATCCACGAATTTATCTCCAGATGTCTGTCCATGTAGTTTGAGGTCGCTCTAATCGGCTTCTTCCGCAATAAGGCAAACAATGTGGTTAGCATTCAAATAGTCCGCTCTTTTTATAGTCTGTAAAAAGACAAGAAAAAGAAAAAAAAAAGACATAATCCGACCAGCACTTATCCGAATCAACAGTAATAATCGTTTGTTGGGTGTACCTTGTGTCCAGTCCATTGGATTTGATCTCTCAGAGGTGTTTTGGAAGTTTCAGTACTTTATAATCTCATTGACCGAAGGCCTGGGGTTATAAAGGGCCTAAAAATCACTGCGGAAAACTTCAATATTCAGTACGACACATTGACAAATGAACTAATGCTCTCCTCTAGCTCCCAACTGCTTTTACTGATTCAACAACAACAGTGAGCAAAGTGGACACAATGAAGCTTTTGAACCTCTGTTTGTGTGTGTTCAGTTCTAATGGACCATTTCAACAGCACTACTTATGAATTAGAACATAAAAAAGCAAATATGTCTTGTTTATTGTGAACATAGAGAGGCTGTTATTTTTCATTGTTCACTCCGTAGAGAGAAACGTCTTTACCACATGACAGAGATTTGGTAGACAACGTATTTAGCATAGCTTTTTAATTTATCAACATTACTGATATAAAATGACGGTTCACTTGTTGGGTTCACTTGAGTTATATAGAGTGGCATTATATAAGATTTTGGAATAAAAATAAACAACACAGAAGGAAGGACATGCTTATGCTTTTCTCTTCTTAGTCATAGACAATAGCAGAACATTTGTATTATATATATCTTGAGCATTTAACCTTGATACAATATTGATTTACACAATAAAAAGACGGTATGTTTGTGCCTGCCGCCTTATGGTAAACATTATCACAACAAAGTGCAGACACAACTTTTGATTATTTTGATTATTTATTAATTTGTAGATAAAAAGAGAAAATGGAAAACAAATAGCTATTACAGAAACATAGCTGTGTTGAAAATATCCCTTCTGGAAACCAAAGCGTTTTGAATAATATGGTTTAAAACAGTGTTTCCCAACCAGGGAATTATGGGCTACTCTTTGTTATTCAATACACACACATTTAAATAAAGAAATCTTTCCCAAGAAAACAACCATATATATGTATTCTCATCTAAACATTGAACCCTAAAAATAATCAATAATTATTCTGCAATTTGTACTTTTGGTAAAGTTTTGGTTCAGTCCAAACATGGTCATTTTGTTCAGGAAAATACAAAAAGTCATAATAACTTCATGTGATGAATTGGTCAAAAAACAACATAATGGTGCAAAAGATGAAATATAAATACAGTTTCAAAATCTAAGTTTTGACCCTGAACAAAAAGAGTGTGACACCCCTGGGGCACTGGAGAGGTGGTGAATATTCTGGCGAGTCCAAAGGTTTAGGCAAAAGAATTAAACATATTTCTGTTCTTTGATTGTGTTTCCAGGGCAACAGTATGTCTGAAGCCAAACCCAGCCAGCGCTTCCACAGTCTGAACGCTGAGCAGGTGGACGTTCTGCACCAGGTTCTGTCCGACGTGGTTCCGATCCATGGGCGCGGAAACTTCCCCACTCTGGAGCTGAGGCCGCGGGACATCATCATCGCCGTGAGGGCCCGGCTCCAGCTCCACGGGATCCTGGTTCGGGACGTGCGCCTCAACGGCTCCACCGCCAGCCACGTCCTGGTGCGAGACAACGGTACCAGCTACAAAGACCTGGACGTCATCTTCGGAGTAGAGCTGCCCACCCAGGAGGAGTTCCAGGTAAACCCGGCATACGGCTGTTTAAGGCTGGGGCACCTAATTTTATAACCACAGAAGATAGATCTATGTAATTACCATCCATCTAACTTGTTCCTCACTCTAAAAACAGAAGCAATTGTTTATTTAATATAATTTATTATGCAGTTTATGGACTTTATCAACATTTAGAGTTTATATGGCTTTGTGAAGTCATCCAAGATAACTAATCCCCAGCTTTGATATATATTTTCATTTTCACATTTTATTAAGCTCCCAATATGTATATTTGTTTTAATTCTAGAGGTTCGCCATCTTAATCTGATCATTGAGATATTACGTACTCTCTGGACGTTAATACTTATATCTGCATCATATTGACATAAACAGTATATGTATAGAAGTCTAAAAGGAAATTCAGTTTCAGGCTTATTTCGTATTCACAAAATAGAAACAATATAGTAACAAATAAAAAGTTGTGACTATAGTAATAGCAGTGATTATAGTATCAAATCAAACAAACATGTAATTATACCACTAACAAAATAAAAGCTTCAACCTTTGAATTAAGACCAAAAATATTGGCAAGCACAGACAAACAACAGCTCTCAAGAGAAAAATTACGGGAGAATATTGAAGGAGAATAAACATCATATTTTAAGTTTATACTACAAGACCAAACACAAGTTGTATGTACTTGCTGTTGAAAAACCAAAACCTTGAAATGGCTAGTGAACCAGACTATTGAGTATCCAATTGTAAAAAGCCACACCAAAAAGATGAGTATTTTATTTGTAGGAGAGACTGAAATCCATGCAAGCCCAAAGCTACAGTCAAACACGAGCGAGATTAACCAGCTCTCCTCTTATAATGTGACTTAATACGATGATTCTTGCCATAAGTCGCCCTAAAGCCGACTTTATGCTCCAAGTCTATTAGACATTTTACGCAGGGCCAGGAGGTCGCTTTGCGCTGCTTGAACCTCACTTTATTATCCTAAGCACTGTACTCCGAGTCGGCTCTCATTGCCACGTTGTCTATCGATTCTTCCTTTCTTTATAAAAAAGTCATTGTAATCATAACAACATTGCAATTTGCCCAATCAATATAACCAGCAGTGGTCTGTATTAGTGGGAATCTAATGAAACGAGGCATATTGCGGTGGGATTCAGGGATCATCATTACAAGCTGTTATTTTAATTCTATGCTTTGTGTGCGTAGGTGATAAAGGAAGCTGTCCTTGGCTGCCTGCTGGACTGCCTTCCCCTTGGGGTCAATAAGGAGCGGATCAGCAGCGCTACCATGAAAGAGGCCTATGTGCAGAAAATGGTCAAAGTTTTCAACGAACACGATCGCTGGAGTCTTATCTCTCTCTCCAACAACAGTGGCAAAAACCTGGAACTCAAATTTGTCAGTTCGTTAAGGCGCCAATTCGAGTTTAGCGTGGACTCTTTTCAGATCATTTTAGACCGCCTTCTTGAGTCTTACATGGCACAAGATTTGCAAAGAAAAGCTAAAGACATTGACCTGAGAGAGCACCAGGGAGATAATCAGGCCAAGCAGACAGGCGCTTTCCCTAAACAAGACGAAATGGAGAAGACTAGCCAAACTGCACGGACTGAAAGAGTGCACGAGAAAGAATCGCAGACAGAGTTTTCTTTGCAAAACGACACTCTTGACCAAACAAAAGACTCACAAATTCAAAAGAAAGAAAAGTTAGGTCAGGAGCTACCTGTGGAGCTGAAAGACATAGCTGAACATAGTGGAAATGTCACGCCTGGCCTCCAGACAACTTCAAATGAGGTTTCCGAGCAGGCGGAAGAAGCCGAGAAAACTCAAAGTGAGATTTTGGACAAGACTGAATGTCAGAAAATGGCAGAACACTCAGTCCAAGTTTGTTCATGCGATGACAGGGAGGCACTATGTTCAAACCAGGAACTGTGTGTCCAGAAAGAGACATCTAACCACTCAAAAGAGGCAGAGATAACTGAGAAAAATGGACAATTTGAGCTGCCAGAAAACTTAGATAAAAGTGGGGGCGACCTGGCACAGGAAACACTCGGTAATGGACACTCAGATGAAGGGAAGTGTTCAAACTCAGAGAGAAAAGAAGATGAAAACACCACTTCTACTACAGAGGCGGAAATGTCTTCGAATGCAAAAGCAGAATTACACACAGACGAGGCGAAGAGAGCTGTGGAGAGAGAGACAGGAGAGAAGATAAGAACAGAGACGGGCGATGACAGCCGGGAAAATGAAACAAACGACGGTTTAGCTTCAGAGGCGCAACACAAAAACGAAGCGAGTTCAGATAGCTCCTGTACTGCCTTGTCAAATCTTTTTCAGAGTACATCAGAGGCGCTGGAGAATCCCTGCACGCACCTTTTAGAAATCGCAGACAAAACTCAGGATACACTACCCGCACCACCCGGCCTTCTTCTCATCGACAAAAAGTCCTCGAAAGCATCGGAAAGACTGTCTTACATGGTGGTGCTCAAACACTCCTCTCCAAAACCGCCCCGGAGAATGTGCCGGAAAGTCCACCCATCCTCCGTTTTGCAAACCGAATCCGCCCCCACGGCTTCAACGGATCCTTCCCCCTGTCCCAGCCCGGAACCCGAAGAGAACTTGACGTCTGATAAACCCATTTTAGATTCGCCAAACGCAGAAACTTCCACCGCTTATGAAAACGCCGAACCAAGCGTAGAGCTTACCTCATCTCCAAACGATTCAACCGAAAGTTCATCTTCAGAAATTGTGTGTGAGAAGGAATTGCAAAACACCGAGCCAAACGCTATCACGTCTATGGAAAGTGCTACGATACAATTAGACCCCACTGACTTATCAGAAGAAAATTGCACTGAAATCCATAACCCAGTGGAAAATACCTCAGACGATGTGCTGAGCGACGACGTCAAACTTCAGGAAATCCAAATAGACGTGGGTGAAGCGGAAGACCCTCCTCTCGTGTCCTGCCTCGCTCCTCCGGTCCTGAGCTTTTCCGCCCCGTGCTTCACCCCTTCCTCACCTCCGAGCCTTAGCCCTCCCCCTTGCCAAACTCCCCCATCTCTTTGCATAAACACAATGAGCCCTTCAACCAGCTTCAGCTCCGCCCCCATGAGTTTCAGTCCTACCTCGTCCTGCTTAAGCTCTCCTCCATACCTCACTCCCCCCATGCTCAGCCTTAGCCCCCCGCCCACCTGCCTGAGCCCACCCCTCCTCTGCCTAACCCCCCCGGTGGACTCGGCAGACCTCGTAGTAGCTCAGGTATCCGCAGACGAAGACTTGCCTTTGATTCTCGATAGTAGCGAGCAGTACTTGAAAGAACCCGCCACTCAGCAAGCCCCCCTTTTGGACACGGTGGATGAAAAAGAAGATTATATTTCAGCTCTGCCTCAGGGCTCCAAACCCGTGTCTTTCCCCATCACTATCCCCAATGCCGCCTCAAATGTGCTGCCTCAGTCTGTGGACCCTGAGGAATCTGCTGTTGCTGCTCCCCCAGTGGCTGTAGCGCCCGTTGTTACGCAAGAAAGTAAAAAAGTATCTCAAAATATCACTCCCAAACTGTGTCTGGATTCGATTGGCTCTGCCCCGGATGTGGAGGTCCTGGCTGAAAGCATGTATGGGGATTTCGAAGCCGCCATGGACCACCTACGCTACAGATTAATAGCGACTAGAAATCCAGAGGAGATCCGCGGAGGAGGGCTTTTGAAATACAGCAACCTGTTGGTGCGGGATTATCGTCCGGCCAGCGAGACTCAGATTAAGACGTTGGAGCGATATATGTGCTCGCGCTTTTTCATAGACTTCCCGGATGTGCAAGAGCAGCAGAGGAAAATCCTGTCCTACTTGAAGAATCATTTTATCGGAGAGGAGAGAAGTAAGTACCAGTACCTAATGACGCTGCGGCGTGTGGTGGACGACAGCACTGTGTGTTTGATGGGACATGAGCGGCGCCAGACCCTCAACATGATCACGGTCCTGGCTCTCAAAGTGCTGGGCGAGCAGAACATTATTCCCAACACGGACCATGTGACCTGCTTCTACCAGCCCGCACCCTACATCACAGAGCCCAGCTACTGCAGCTACTACATCCCCCAGGGAGGCTCTGCTCTGCTGTACCAGCCCTACCCTTTACACCTCCACTCACAGACTGGACTGGTCTAGGGCGCGCTCAGCAAACAGGCAAACAGCTGAGCAAAGGCAACTGTGCTCAACTCAAATCTGGAGAATGAATTATAATCCAGGGATAAACTGTTGGTCTATAATAGACCTCTGCAGGTGGGATTGAGTGGGTTTCTCAGTAGATCTAACGTGATTATATGTAATTATGTGGGCTTTGTGGGCTTTGTGGGAAAATAATAATTCTTCCGATATTGTTAAAATTCCAGAAAATGCCGTTTGCACTGCATGAGTCATCGGCCTTTGGTCTCCATGGGAAACCAACTGCGCCGCTGACACATGCCTCACACACAAACACACACACACACACACACACACACACACACACACACACGCACACACACGCACACACACACATACACACACACACAGCCAGGGCTTGTTCTAGCTATTAGTGGACAATGGACTTACTAGATGTTTGCTTTGATCTATGATGCTTAGGAACAAAAGGTTAGCTAACTTTCTGAATGCCCGGAGTGAACATTTGTTTTGCTTCCCATTTGAAATCTTTATTGAGCAAATCACGTGATAGCATCCAGTAAATAGCACATTAATGATGCCCATGACTGAAGTAAATGATCTGAGTGGCAAATTCTTCAACCTAGGAGTGGCTAATACCGTATATACATAATAAGTCTGCCATTTTGCTAGATGTCTGACTGTGATTATATAGTCGAAGTGCAGTTTCATACTTTTGTGCATCCTTCCTTTTGTTGAAATGAAAGGATTAGGAAGTATTTTATAGAAACACGGCCTTAAACAAAGCCACATAGACCTAGCTAGCATCAGCCCTGTGTTCAGACTGTACATAGACACTCATCAGCAGGCCCTTCTCCTAAACTTTTCCATGTTCTTGTGTCGTTTTCATGGGTTTGTTCAGAATGTGAATTTTTTGCCTGTGTTTGATATTGTGCATGGATCATAGGACTGTTCTCTCACTGCCAAATACTGTGTGACTACTATGCTTCTAAACAGTTCAATGTATCTTCGTTATTTACTAAAGAGTCGTATTTTGGGGTATAAAAAGACATTAAGGTCTACCGAGTAACTTTAACACGTGCACGCACAGCCAAAACATACACACCATTATATGCACACAAAGTTATACAATGCATGAGTAGCGTACTACTTATTAAGACGACATACAGAAGTCAAAGGATTTTAACAAAATGAAAATATCTATTTTTGCAAGAATTTACAAATGATATATAGTGGTGAACATGTGGTTTGTTTATATGTGGTACATGCCAACAGCAATGCCTTTGCAATAGTACTGTACAGTGCATTGGTTACAGTATTGTGTGAAAATCGGCATTGTTTTCAGGTTCCGTGTGTTAGGACGTGTAGTGCTCGGTTCCTTTCCTTTGTGGAGTCCTTTCTGTGAAGTACCGTACAATCTAGTGTCCGGTTTATTTATTGCTGATGTTTACTCAATGAAGGTGGGAAAAACCATCTTTGGGTCATCTCAAAATGTGATGGAGAATATTCTGTCAAAACTGTTTACATTTAAGTTCATCCTTCAGCGTTTTTGAGGGCGTTGTTCACACTGGACTAAATTGCAGTCGTTCTGAGTATTTGCCCAGAAAATCAGCCCGACCCATGCACATGAACATTGTCTCTGTTTCAACAACTCCTTCAACTCTTCCATACAAGAAATGGGTAGAAAATGTGTAGAAAGGTTAAAATAATTTTGGCCATTTAAAGGAGTAGATTTTTCTTTGTCAAAATAATGCATGTTGTTAGTTCAGACCACACCATGTCTTTATCGTGTAAGGAAACATGTTATCTTTTGCATTCTGAATTGTTTAGCGTGGTTGGTCATCTTTGTTTTCTTTTACGTCTGAAAAACCTGATCTATAATTATATTTCTATTATATTTAATTTATTTTTGTAAAGCTCTTACCACAGTGATCTTAGAGGACTTTACAAAGTTCTCATTTCTTCCACAACAGATAAGTGAATCAAACAGCTTTGTGGAGCTTAAGTGAAAACTAGAGACAGAGCCACACTGTTTTGAGAACTCAAACCATTTTATTACATTTATTATTCGTGGTTTGAAGAAATGCAGCTTTGATTATCATTATTGCCTCAATTCTGATTCTAAAATATAATCAGCTCTTTGCCAAAACCAAGAGCACTAGTGGCTGTAAAAGCTGCTACACAATTGCGTAAATGCCTTTCAGCACCACGGACAGCTCCACACTCTTTTTCAACAGCTCTTGTTCTGCTCCAGTGTGAACAAGCCCTCTTCACCCAATGAGACCAGGGTTCAGATCCACCTCAGTCTAAGTTCAGAGCCGTGTGACTTCAACTATGACCAAAGATGGTTCGGCGGGGACATTAAGTGCCTAATCGTGGGACATGTTTTTGGAGGCCTGTCTCATCTCTCTGCACTGGGGGTGGGAGCGGGTTCATGTCCAGTTGTTGACCCCTGTAATTGCTGCCTGTTTTGATGTCTTCTTTAATGTAGTCCTTTGTTGTATTTTGTTCATGTATTTTGATAAAATAAAGGTGAAAGATCAATTAAAACGGCTGGTGTTTTCCTCTTCTGGGAACGGTTTTGAATAGCCATTTGAAACGAGGTATTAGCTTACATGGAAACTAATCTGTCCAGGTTGTTTATAGCAAGGCACAGCTGTCATTTGTCTAGTCATTACTCAACACCATGTTTGGTCTGGGAAATGTCATGTTTTTAAGTTCTTCTCTGAAATAGGACTGGAGCAGCCTTCAGAGGTCTCACTTCACAACAAGAATAAGGTCCAGGGTTTGACTCCCTGGAGTTTCCATGTGCCCAGGTTTCCTCCAAGTACTCAACAGGTGAAACTTGCAAAATAAATTTATCATTCAGAAGCTCATTTATTTCGGTATTTCTAATATATGATAGTGACATAAAACAAGCCTTTTTCCTCATAATTCTCTCTGTGCGTGTAGTGAGTCTGTCATGTTTTAGTTATACATTGTAAGTTGAATTACAGAAGTAAACAGACTGCACTACTTTCCTACCACTAAAAACAGAGTCAATAGAAAATAAAGTAAAGATTATAAAAAGCACTTGTCTGTGAAGGTACTAAATACAAATTACTCATTTACATACTGTATAGATCCAAGGTCAACTCAACAGAAAGCTGTTACTATCACCTATATAATTTAAATTAGCAGTGAAGACATAATGGAATGGTATGTGTCTTATGTTTAAACTGAACTTTTACTGACTTTTTACTAATATAAAAAGTGACTGTCACCCACTTGTAACCATAGTGATGGCACTGGAATGTCTTCTTTTGACAGTATTGTTAACATAAAAAATACCTTATATGCCTCTACAATAATTCATATATGTAGATACAACCATATTTTCCATGTTTTCTTACTCTAAAAGAGAACGACCGCTCCCCACCACGAGTTATTTGGTGCTATCTGGAAAAATGCGGCTGGCGTCCGGGCTCTTATCGCAAATCACCTATCCTTCAGATGTGTGCGGGGCCACTGACGCAAGCTCTACGCAACACGGCGGCCTCAACAATGTGTAAATGTGACAAGAGCGTGGCCACTGAGGTGTGAGGGGAGAGGGGGGAGGGGGAAGGGCTGAAGCTTTCTAAATGGTAGCATCAGGTGGTTGTGCTGCCTGGGATTAGTAATGGGGAAATGGGGCAGAGAAACGAAATAGCTGTGACGTCTGTAGAGAGACAAAGAGGGGGGAAAATAGCCGTGATTGCAGAGGATTTATTATGAATGGTGTTGTGGAAAGACGGTAGTGTTTGCGAATGCGGGATGACAATGGCTGTCAAATAATAGTGGTATGACATGGGCGTTGTCTATTCCTGTTTTAGACACGTTCTGTTCAGGTTAAGCCATTAAATATAATATATATAAATATAATATATATATTTCATTATATAAAATATAATGAAAAACTATATATATATATAGTTTTTCAAAGGTTTGTGTATGTTTTTGTTTGAGAACTTGGAAATCTATTGTTGACATGCACAATTAAAGCCACAGCTGTTGACTATATTCAGAATGAAGCTATAAGGAACAACACAATCACATACTTAGGTTTCCTGATTTGAAAAAAAAAAAAAAAAAAAACCTGCAAAACCAGGATCCCGCAGTGGCTTTCTTTAGTGTGAGTATTATAAAATTAAACTTGTTTAAGTGGTACTATTCCCTTTGCTCTGAGCAGTGTGTTGTAATCGTTGCATTATCAAGTTGGAAGTTATCTTTCCGACCCATTTTTTTCGTTGAAACAATAAATCTATAAAGGTTGTGTTTTCAGACAATCTATGTCGGTCATTGTGCCAAATCATTCTGAGCAATTTATTGGTGAATGTTGGCTGACACCCACCGGCCATTGTGGGAAAGTGTCTTGCCTCAGGACACAATGACAGTCAGTCATATATTTATATCACATAAAAAACTGGACCAAAGGTGAAGAACGCTTTTTCTTGAAAAAAAAAAAGCTTTAAAATGAGGCCTAACATGCCATGACAGCTATAATAATGCTTCAGATGAATGGGCCACTAAAGATCGTGTTTGACACATGTGGTGTAAAGATCCCAGGTCTCATCATATCGCACTTCTCATACTTAAGACTTTTAAGATCATGTTTTATGGCAGTAATTAATAAAGTCATAATAACAGAGACAGCTTCCCACAGATTTCAACACAAAGTGTCATGTCTGGACTCACAAGTCTTTCTCACAACTTTGCCAAAGTGTTCATGAAATAAAGACCTTATGTTGTCATTTTATTTGTTCACATTCTTTTTATTGTATTTTTCTCTCTCTGTGCAAACAAACACCATGTTCTCCCACAAAGCCCATGTGAGAAAACATGATGCATGTCTTGCACTGGAGACAACACAACAGAAACAATACACTTTTACACCAACAGGATCCTCCGCTGTGACATTAATCCACTGTAGAGCCATCGTACCCATCCTCTCATAATGATCTCTTCTCTTCGCTCCAGACGCCGCTTGC